AAAATGAGTTTTTTGAAGTAGTTTTCAACCGGCTCTGAAGACCATTCCCCAAGAACAGTTCCAAAAGCTGTTTTCCTTAACTACATCATTAGCAAAAAGGTGGAACCTGTTCAGATCATTTCTAAAAACCCAACCTTCCATTTCTGATACATGGTTTTTAAAAATCATTTTTCCCCAGTTTCATTATTGCGCCTATTTGATTGTGTCAGGCAGTAAGTACTTGAACAAATTCAGAGAAGGCAACCATCATTTACAGCTGGAGATGTGAGGGCAAGCTTTATAACTGGGTGGGGCCTAAGCCAAACATCTCCCCCTAAATTCAAGCAAGCAGCTGCATCATCTCAAAGTACCCAACCCACTGGCTCTAGCCAGCTCTGGTTGTAAGTTAACAACCACTCAGGCTGATCAGACTCTTTTCAGGGTTGGGTGTGATCACATAAGAGACAGATATTGCAAAGTTCCAGTAAGTAACAACGTGAAAAAAAAAAAAGTAATAATGTGAAACATAATAATGTGAACCTACTGGAGGAGAAATAAATTTTCTTATTTCATGTAAAAGACAGTCTACCTCAACTCAGAGAAAGACTGAAATCATTTCTTATGCTTTTAACTGCTAAATGTGAACTGAAGCAGAACAATAACTACAGATCATGTTTCTAGAAAACTTGAAGATCTTTAAGTCAGACAATATAAAAATGTATCTGTGCTTGTGATTGTTAACTTTTGGTAAATCAATTATTCAAAAACGGGTCTATACAGTGGAAAAAGCATGCATGGTCTGAAGTATGAGAGCCGGTTTCCACAGGAGGATGACACACACTTTCAGTCAAGTGTGAAATGGAGACTGCTGTTAATCCACCAAAATCCCTGAGACGTGCAAGCTCTTCACCCGTACCATTCCCTTCCTTCTAGACACCTGGATAGCTTACATTTCCCAGTCTCTTTCACAGGTAAGGAGACCATGTGCTAAAATTCTCACCAATGGAACATGAACAGGAGAGATGTCAGGCATTACAAGGTCAGGCCCCTAAGAGGGCATAGCATGTTTGCCCCTTCCACATGCATTCCCCTGGACACAGCAATCCATTCTCAATCACAAGCCCACAGGAAGATGGAGTTCAAAGAAATGGAAGAAACTTGGAAGCCTGGATTATCACATGGAAGAGAGCTTCCCACTGACCTGGAACCTGTCCTGGAGTGACAGGAGCAAGAAATGAACTTCTATTGTATCCGAGTTATGAGGAGATATTTACTACAGCAGTTTAGCCTACTCAACTATTACAATCTCTCTGTGCCTCAGTTTCTTCACCCATTAAATGGAATAACACCACTTACTCTGAAGACACTTGTAAGGAAGAAATGAGATGATGCCTATGAAGTGTTTAGCATGATATCTGACGCACAGTAAGTACTCAATAAATGGCATAGATTATCTCAGCGTTAGTAAATTACATAAAGGATTTTCTTGTTTTTATATATCTGCATTTATAGAACGTTTTACTTTAACCCCAACTTCTCCAACATTGCTATA